GCTTCATGTGCTCCGTGGAATGGACCTGCTTTTGCCTGTGAAGGCTTGTTCTGGCTTTCCCTTCTCTCCAAGGAGGGTCCCAAAGGACTACATCAGGAGGAAAAAGGGCAGAGTGAGGGAGAGAAAATGAACCCCATTAAAAGAGAAGTAATTTCAGTATTCCAAAATCTGCTTGGGAGATCTTACTCGATTCAACTCCGTTGGTGTGCCGTGGGCTGGCTCCTAGCAAATAACAAAGAACTTCTCATTTTCAGTTGTTTCTTTGTTTTGGTCTGTCAAGAAAATCTTACTTTCACCTTGCCGCTGTTGTCACATAACATGCTATGTGGATCACACGAGGGCTTGCATGTAACAATGTTGCCTTCAGCTCATTGTTTTCCTGGTCCTAAAAACTACTTATCATGCTTTTTAGACACGTTTGGAAAATGCTGCAAGTTTGAACCCTCTATTGGACTCTGTATTCACCTAAGATGCAAGAGTGTACCCTGGCAACCTGCTTGTTAAAGCTAGATGGTCAGAAAATCTGACCAAGCTCAAAGCCCTGTAGGTTCATTGGCATCTGAGGCAGCTTTTCTCAGGTCAGCATCCCTCATGAAACTTAACTCCTCTGAAATCCGAGGGCTGCCCTTGCTCGGGGGGGACCACACCAGTGAGGGAAGCCAGCCCAGGGCATCTCCAAGGCTGCCTCCAGAGGGAAGTGTGGGGAGCATCAGGGACAGAGCCCTCCTCAGTGGGGGCTTTTCCTTCAGCTCATACCTAGAAAGTTTAACTATCGCATCCTAGGGGTGTGTGTGGCACTCAGGAGTTAAGTAGGGTCATTGCTGCAATGCTATGGGTCAGGAAAAAGGACAGTGGATTTAGTAGTGGGGTAGCTGCTCTGAAATTGGTCCTCTTAGTATACCAGAAATGCTGGTTTGAAAGTCCTTTCCCTGAGCTTGGCTTTTGTCACTAGCCAATATAGCTGCTCTGTTCCTTTGGTCAATATTTGAAAATATTTCCCAAGGGGTTTCTATATGGTGTCTCGCTGAGTTATCTAGGAGGAGAAAGTTGTTATGTTTTTTTTTCCCTAAAGTCTCTAAGTAGGCAGAGTTTGCACAACCACACTCATTCTCTCCCAAATTTCATTCATGCATGCTCTCATACCCACGCGCTCAGAAGTACCGAGGTGTATGTCCACGTGGTCTGGCCAGGGTCACTTGTCTGATGCAGAGGACAAGAGTCAGTGGCTGCTGCATCCTCATCACATCCCTGAGGTTGTTCTTGGCAGGCAGCAACAAACCAGTTTGGGGCTACTTTTCATATCCTTTAGGAGTTGATATTTACAATTTTTTCCCCTCATTGTTTTTTCTCATCCCTCATAATTCTCAGGCAAATAATGTATTTCTGTTCTTTTTTCTCATGGTCTTGGTATTTTATGACTTCAATTCTGTTCTTCGTCTTCTTGACACCTTATCTGTAGGTCAGGTTGTTGCTCCTCCTTTTGTTACTTGAACAAAATCACGGGCAGGGTGCGATCGGCACAACGAGTGTGTGCCATTCCTTTCACCCCGTGCTCTGCCCATTCTTCTGGTGCCTGCTCACTTGCTCTCACACATCCATACGCTCATACACACACACAGACTTTTACTCTGCCCTTGTTCATTACCAGGTTTAATACTTCAGGTACAAATCGCTGCAGGCAGGCAGGATTAACGTATCTGCCCCCAGTGCTGTTCCTTCCATGCCAGAACGTGTGTCTGCACGTCCTGCACATTAGTAGTAGGGTTACTTTGAGCGCATCAGGCAGCCCCCAAAAATGCTTGAATCCCTTGTAAGAAGGGGCATAGTTCACGCCAACTCTCCCTGTGGCAGGTTTGTGGTCTGTGAGGCTGCTGAACATTGATTTGGTCATTTTTGTAAAGGAAGGACATACAGAATAGGATCCAAAAGGAGGATTTCTACACTTTATTTCTGCATTCCCCAGCCAGAGGCAAGTGCCGTGCAATGAGCCTTGTGTGTTCAGTGCCTGGTGTCAGCGATGCCTACAGGGACCGGATCTGCACCCCATGTGTAGCAGGGCCATTGCCTTCAGGCTGGATCGTGCTTGCAGCGTGTGTGGAGCGGTTCTGCCACGGGGGTTGGCTGGGTCCCACTTCGGCGCTTGTGGCCCCCACTGTTACTGCTGATGGTCAGAACGTCTGTCTCGTGTGTCCTGGGCATGTCTAATTTCACTGTACAAGCACTGCAGGACTGCTTTGTGTACAGGTTTCAACTTGCCCATACGATGGTTAGCCTGAGACTTAAGGAAATCAGGCATCTGAGTTGGATCTGCCACTCTGACTGTGCTGCCTAGAGTAGAAATGCTGGGCAAGGAAGCAAAATCATTTCCTCACCTGTTTCCTTGCCCACACAAAATTTTCCAAGTAGAGCAAACGGATGTTTGTTTGGTACTGATGGTAATTTCCATGATTTGTGCGTATGACGAGTTTGCTTGACTCTCTGTGCTCCACAAAGAAGTTGAGGTGGAAACCTTTTCACTGAGTGGAGGAGCTGGAGCTTTCTTGCTGGATTTGCCACGGGTGGATAAAGCTGTCCTCTGCCTTGTAGTGATTTTGTGTGAGCTGGTAATTTATCATGCAAACTGAGTGGAAAACCTTGCAGCCATAGAGGCCTCATGCCTGCGTGCATCACGGCACAGACGTGAGCATCAGCAGGGTGCCCTACCTGGAGCTGGGTGCTGTGGTGGGTGGCTTTGCTGGCAGCGGTGGGAAAAGGTTGATTGTTAAATGCATGCTAAAAACTGCAGTGCTGAATGTTTTATCATATAAAATTGATGCCAGAGATATTAGAAATTCAGTAGGCTGTCCTAATATCTTGAACATTTCAACAGAGATGTGATATTTCATATACACGGAGCGCCTGCTGATGTCACTTGAAAGTCATGCTCACTCAGCTACAGCAGG